AAACTTAGAGAGAAAATAAGAGAAAAATATTCTCTTCCCCGTAACGTGAATAGGCGTGTAAAATTATTCATCATTCTCATCAACCTAATCTCTATTATATATAGCACAAGGAATTAGAGTCACACATAGAGAGGATTACATGGAAACAAATTCCACTCCTTCTATAACTTTATATAGTCGAAAATAGCAATCCAATGAACTTTATTTTCTCGATTAATTAGAAAATACATTGGGCTACAATAGGGACTAAAGGAGAAAATATAAATCGGGCAACTAATAATTAATTAAATCCAAACTCTTAAAAGAATTCATTTAATTAATCATTAAATAATTATATATTTTCCACTACCAAATAATTATTGAACTCCCGTTTATATTCTTAAATATTACATTCGAGCTCCGATCGATCATTACTTAGATTCTCCCCACATTAAGATATCTTATAACCACCAAATAATTTATTCACTGCTAAATAAATTAAATGGTTTCTTTTCATGAGTCTCACCCGCTTAACTTATTTAAGTGTGCCAGATACGAAATCCACTTGGCCAGGACTTGGCATAAACAAATCTTATAAGCTACTCAAGGGTTATTATCAATCTCATATTTCAGAGATGTGGATTGCTTTCGATAATTAATTTCCACCTTTTAATTCTTAATGTCTCTACCCAACGCACCGGGGGCCATTTGACTCAATATAGGAATCTCTCCCATTGTGACATCAAAGTAGAGATCATAAATTAAATATGTACGTTAATTATCTAGGGATTAAGAGAGTAAGTAATTTACTGTCAATTAGAAATAATACAGTTTCATTTTGAATAGTGATGAAACAATTATTTCACTTTGTCCGGTTCAACACATGCCGGGTGTGCTAGCACAATAAGCCAAAACAATAACTACAAAAGTTATTCGCTGTTTACTGTGATCAAGACCAATCACTTAAATATTGTGCTACAATATTTTACCAATGGTTAGTCCATTTCCATCCAGATTGTGAACGTTTATCTTTATATTCTAAACGAACTTTCGAAATGATCTTTTTGTGCGCCGTAGCACACCATCTCGAATACTATTAGAATATTAGACTTATGCTTTTAATTAATTTACAAACAATCCATTAAATGCATTGAATACCCTAGTGCAGATTCTCATAAAATGATAATAAACTATTTTATTAATTCAATAATAAAATTATGTAGCTAAAAGCGAGACTTTAGTCTACTATCCTAACAAATCCCACATATTTCGGCGAAATAACCGTTGCATTAGGGATGTCGAATTTTGATGAATTAGGTATCTCATTAATTGAATATATTGGGTTTTTATCGAAAATTTTCAATTTACAGTTGTGGTATTCTTTGAGTAATTAGGGGTTTGTCGAAATATTCCTCATTAAATTTAATTGCATTATTCGATTTAGATTACAACGGCGGCGATGAATTAGAGTACAACAGAGGGGATGAATTATAGCACAATAGCGGCGTGAAAGATTCAGCCTCGTCATCTAGGGCGGAATAAAGTGTTTCGACTTCAAATCGGGAAGAGAACAATGGCGACACAGACAATGAAATTCTGCAAGTTATTCAACGATTTACATCATTAACATTTGTTGATACAAACGAAGCAGGTGCACATTATCAATGTTTCACACAACTGTCTTGATTTGACATCCGCAAGAACTCTATGAAAAGGATAGGCAGCATCATTTTGAATAGGGTATGGGTTCGCTCTCGAGAGGGCCACCATAAGGAGATAACAGATGAAAGATCGATTGCGTGGTCATTGACCAGAGACGAGGTGTGGTTGCCCTGCTCTATTTCGTGTTGCTCTCAATCGTTCTACTGGGAGATACATAGTGACTGCCTTCGAGCCCAAGCACAATCACAGTATGGAAACTCCCAATACCAGCCATATTCTTCGTTGAAATAGGTAATTCTATCTTAGGTTATATTGGAAATGTTCGTTTTCCTGAAATTTACACATCAAATTCATTTAAATGTACCCCTATTTGTTGGAAAGTTGGGTACATAATATTGACCCCAGCCACAAAGATAATGTTGGATACGATGACCCATGTTGGGTGCAAACCTAGTCATGTTCTGGACCTTATGGAATATCTTGGTGGAGGCAGTGCAACTGGCGTATTTAATAGGAAGGACGCGTACAACTACCTGAACGGTGAAAAGATGAAATAGATTGATTCAGGGGATGTGAATACTTTGTTGGGTTTACTTGACGGGATGAAGTTGAAAGACAAAACACTCGAATACAAACACGGTATCGATCAAGGTGAATCTCTAACAAGAATATTTTGGCACGACGGAATATCAAAAGCCGAGTATGAGGAGCTTGGTGATTTCTTAGTATTTGACAGCACCTACAAGACCAACTTATATTGTTTTCGAGTGGTGTTGTTCTCTAGAGTCAACTCCCATTTGTGAACATGTATTGTTGTAGTTGCTATTATGTACAAGGAGACGGACGACTCAACAATACACGTGGTTGCTGAAAATTTTGCTAGAATTCATGGGAGGAAAGGAACCCAAAGTTGTTTTGACAGATCAAGACGGGGCAATGCACGCAACCATTAGGATTGTGTTTCCTGAAGCAGCCCATCAGCTTTGTTGCTGGTATATTTCACGTAATGTCGAATCAACATAAAAAAACTAGGCTTCTCGACAGAATTTTCCAATTTAATGAATATGCCTTGCTCCGTACCCGAATTTGAAGATAGATGATATGCATTGATTGCTAAATTTGGCCTTATAGATGATCCATACCTAGCTGATCTTTACGAAAAACGCAATCAATGGGCATAATCATTTTTTCGGGGCCAGTTATTTGCTATGATGAAGAGAACACAACGTGCGTTGTCAATGAATGCCTCACTTAAATAGAAAGTGCATGCCGGTTCCACACTTACAGATTTTTTCAGAAAATACCACACATGATTCTTGAATAGGATTCGAAAAATGTTTGACGAACTGCAGAGAGAATCCGAGGTACAACCAAAACAATTAGGTAAAGGCTTAGTAGGCCGTCTTGAGGGCCATGCCGCACGCATGTACACTAGAGCCATTCTTAGGCTTATACGAGTTCAGTTGACGGAGGGGGCAAACATAATTATCATCAGAAGATCTGATATTGTAGGCCACCGCCATACATTCAATTTGGAAAACCACAACTTCGACTAGGTGGATAAATTGACGGCCGTCGTCCATTTGGAAAATGAAGAATTCCTATGCGACTGTAAGATGCGCGAATCTGATGGTATCCCTTGCCGTCATCTCATATGTTGTTTTAAGCATCTGAAACTGAATCAGTTTCCTGCTAAAAGCATCAATTCCCGGTGGTTTGTCGATGTTGGCAAGCGGCTCACCTCATCTTTCCCGTATCAGCAGACGGACAACCTCTACACCAGTTGGCGTATTAAGAGGAAGGAGGACGAGATTGAATTTTGTTAGAGTAGGTGACCAACAAGCCAACTTGTGGTTATGGTCTTTCCATTTATTCTTGTAATAAATATCATTTTTCGTATTAATAATAAAACACCTTGGCATTCTATATCTTTGTCCATTGTTCAACCATAGATATAGTCCTTACAGTTATTATAAGTACTTGTAATTGATCTTGTAGGATATCGGCCTTTCCCATTAAGAGACTAGCACTTAGTGTATGTGTACTGCGTCTCATTAGTAAATGGTATTGTGATATCGGAATGCATAAGTGGGTGCTTGTAAGTTGACGAGTTCACTGAACTCCCTCACCCTAGAAATTACTAAGTGGTTCTCAATAATCGAGTAGAGATCTTTATGGTATAGTTGTACACTATTAGTCCTTAAGACCTAGACATCACGGTGACTTCACTAGAGGACCAACTGTATCATGACATTTCCCTGAGTTCTACAGAGGACCGCCCCAGGGGCCATGTTTGTGCAGTCCAAAATCTAGTGGGAGGTCTGTGCATTGTAGTCAGGGATTCGTTCGCTAGAATAGTCTTGGATGTCCTTTGTGTTATCATGGTTTGTAATCTTTAAGTCTCTGGCCAGAGCTGACTAAGTGATGATTAGGGAATTCGATTCTCTAAGTCATGGAGGTACCGATTACAACACTTAGAACAATCGCACAGTTATTGAACTACTAAGAAGGTCTCGTTGAACCAATGCCTCTAGTTCAATCGGGACATATGAATCGAAGGGATCGTACTGTATGTTAACTATATCAAAAGGTTCTTTGCAGGCACTTCATTTGTATCTAGGGAATCATGACGCGTAGTTGCTAGACGCCAATCTTGATTCATAGGGTGATTAAGTTGAAACGAGCTTCATCTTAATGGTAACTCTAGGGACGAGTTTAAACCACAAAGAGTTGTGGAGCCACGGCTAGCTTACACCTGAACCATCGAGGGTCACACTGCTCGTGCACTCGAGTTCTTTGAATAAACGGTCAAAGATAAAAGTGTTTAATCTTTGCATAATTGAAAGTCAATATGATTGAGTCCAACATTCGTAATTTGGAATTATGAATGAGAATAAGAAATGAAAAGAAGTAGGCGAACATTTTAGTGAACTTTCTAAATTGGGAAGTTTCCAAATTTAGAAGGTCCACTAAATTAGGGTTTCCACTTTTAGAATTTGGAAATCGAGAATTGGCACTCGTAATGATGAGGACTTTTCAATGATTTCGAAAATATAATCGTTATAATTTTCCGATCATTGAGTTGTGAGAAACGAGCGAAGAAAGACTAACGAACTTAAGTTGTTGGGCCCGGTCCAACTTAAGCCCGTTAGGGATTTTATACAAGACACTATAAATACAAGATTTATAGGTCATGCACACACATAACACACAATTGAAAACCCTAGCCGCTCAATCTCAAGTCCACGGCCACTCACCACCGCCGCCGTCGCTCGTCGGCGGAATCGGCCTCACGCGCCGATCATCTTCGGTAGCTCCTTTCCTTTTGTCTTTTTCTTCCGTCTATTCTAACTCTTGCGTGTCTAGTGCCACCTATTTAGTAGAACTCAGTATACGAGGTGAAATCCGAGAGGAGAAAGACAAAGGAGTCAAATCGCCGAGAAGGCGTCGCCGAATCACCGCCGCACACGCCTTCACGCGCCGCCCGAAGACAGTGCGTGAATCTCACGCCCTGCCGCTGACCCGTGCGTCCGCCACCACTGCTTCCCCGCTGCTCCTCCCGACTGGACGGATTGTTTTCCGTGGCAGTTTGCTCCAATCCGATAGTTCGCCTCACGCTTCAAGAGGTAATCTTTCGGATCTGTTAGGTTTAAGGTTTAATTTAATTAGACTAAATTGTACGTTGTATGTTTTCATGAAATTTGTTTTGTATGTTTTTACTTGATCCTTTTTCGTGAAAATATTTGTATGAATATTACGATTCTTTGCGAGCATGCTATATGTTTTTAATTATCGAATTAATATGCATGGTGTTTTTAAATTTTGCTGGCAGCGTTAAGGTACGTAATTAATTGCTTAATTTCGGGTATGTGTTTATATGAATAAAATAAAAATTCATATAAATTTTTTGTTTTCCTCTACGTACACGTGCCTGATTCCCAACAAATTTAATGTCACACCGACTGACGAGGATGATGAATCTTGTTCACAAGAACATTCTGACGGTGAGGATCCAATTCAAAATGTCAAACATCCAAGAAATGTGGTGGATCCTTGTAAAATTGTTTCAAAGGAGGATCCATAGGAAAGAAACAGTTATGCTCGTTTTGCAGGTTAGTGCGATATGTATCTATTTTATATAAAAAAATAAATTTGAGAGCATATTATTTCTAATAATTTATGTGAGAATTTTGAAGGAAACCTTGACACAAGACAACGACTTGAGAGCTTAATCCAAAAGCTGGTTGTTCGTCTCGTGGTAAAGTTAATTGTAAGCAGGCAACAAGTGGTTTTGAGAATGTGGGCAGCAGAAGCTACGTTCCCCAGTTTTCTCCAATGACATCGGAGCACAGTCTGGCGGACATGAATGTGATGTCACATTCAAGTATTCCTTACGATATGCACCATGAACGTTCTCAATACCAGGTTTAACAATTTATCTTTATGAAGCATCTATTCAATTCTTTCACAAATATGATAATTGTAATTTCTTCTTGTAATATTGGAGGAAGAAAGTAGCGATGAAAATTTTACTTAAACCCGGCATTTGTGGAAAGTGTTTACCCAGTGAGACCACCACGACCACAACCACCAATGTGAATTGTATTCGTGCAATTCCATAAATTGTGACTTCTGTCTACTTTTTAAATGATATTATGGCAATCTGCATATAACAACATTGAAGGACAAAACCTATAACATTTCAAAACACAAAAAAAAAGGAGTTTTGACGCCATAGAGTTGCTTCATCACAATTTCGCAATACCTAAAAATGAAAATATGACAACCCACAAAACTTAACTTTCGTATGATATTGTTCATCAAGCAACCGTTAACAATATACACGCTTTATTTACAAAAAAAAAAAAAAAAAAAAAAAGAACACGGCTACAAGTACAAGCATTGATATCATTCGTCTTCTGCACCGTCGGGGGATGATGGTGGCAATGCTATCGGACCACCGACGGAGAGAGCTTTAATCTGAACTTCCAAAGCGGCAAATTCACTACGCTTCAACTCTTGTTTCTTATTCAAATATCCACGGATGAAATCCTACACCATAATGCACCCTCTTTCGCCCGCAGCTGGAGGAGGCGAGGTGGCAAGTTTGGTGAGATCGTCCACCTTCCTATTACATTAAAGTAGCTCACGGCTCACTATGTTCGCACCTGGTCTGCTGTTGTTGAATTTCCCAGTGAAGTGAACCTTGTATTCCTGTTGACACAGAACTGTAACAATCAGAATAGGAAAATATAGAAGTCGTGGCCTGCCCTGGGCCTGATATTGAAATCTAGCCCCCGGCCGACGGAGAATAGTAACTGCGCCTTATGCAATGACACGTAATTCGGGTCACTAGTCGGGTACCAATTGGACGATCCAATCTCGTGCAAAAGCCAATATTTCTTTGTCAGCTGGTCCCGCAAAACCCCAGACGGCCAATGTTGTATTCTTTCTCCAGTTAGCTCTTTCACAATCTCCTCAGTTGAAGCCCCAGATGTCACCCCTCCGACGTTCTTGGTGCCCATAACCTGATTCAACCTAGTCGGGTTGAACTCAAAAACCTCCCCGTGGACATACACTTTCCCAGAATATGTGCATCCACTTACCCCAGCCCTTTTCTCCAAGTTCGCATAGAAGTTATGCACAACCCCTTCCTCAAAAGCTATTCTTGCCGGATTATCCGGAAACACTATGGTCCCTATTAAGTGGCTCATTTCCAACAGATACGTGACACCCCCACCAGCTCAAACTCCCTTCAACCTACCTCTCAATCATAAAATTCAACCCCTCCAACTATTCTCTCAATCTCGCTGCCCTGTCATTGTAATAGAAGTAATCTCTAGCAATTAGTTTGTCGTAACCAATCTCAAACAACCCGTCGTCGGTCAGCCTACATACCAATATCTGTCTTTTTCGGGAGCAAGGCATTCTAGAATTTAGGTTTTTGGAGAGAGAGAGGTATATTTGCAGATAAAGTTCTGGAAGATGAGAAAATTAGTTAATATTTTGAGAATAATGGTCACACTATGGTCTGATGTGGATGGTGCTGTTAGAAGAGGGTTAGATGAAACCCAAGCGTCTTGGGATATTTGCACGACAACTGAGGTTGTGGGTAAATTTTTCATTTTATAGTATTAAAGGCTGAAGATGTTATACAATTATTTGGAAAAACAAATATATAAATAATTACGATTTATTATATTAGAACATATTCTTGGATTACAGTGTGAAATATTTCATTCTGCAGGATGTGTTTTTCATATTTCGAAAGGTAAAATATCAAAATTCAGCACTCATAATCAAGAATTGAACATATTATAAAGGCTAAAAACTACTTATCATTTATAAGAAATTATCATCAAACGGTTTAGTATACATACTGCATTACAATTCAAATACGTATATTCCATAAAAACATAATACAACCATATTCCTTGCCAAAAGTCTAGATTTATGAATCTAATTAAAATACAATAATTAGAAACAAAATAATTCAAGTGTATTTTGTACTTTCATATCCAAGCCAAAAGTACAATTCTATACATAAATATCATAATCGAATCCAACCAATTTGTTTAGATTCCAATCAATAGTAAATTGGAATCCAAACAATTCAAGTGTGTTTTGTACATGCATATCCTAACCAAAAGCACAATTCTACACAAACATATAATAATCGAATCCAACCAAGTTGTTTGGATTCCTATCAACACTAAATTGGAATCCAAGCAATGCAAGTGTGTTTTGTACCTGTTTATCCAAACCAAAAACACAATTCTATACATAAATATTATAATCGAATCGCATCCAACCAAGTTTTTTGGATTTCAGTCATAAGTAAATTGGAATCCAAACAAGTCAAGTGTGTTTTGTACCTGCATATCCAAATTAAAAGCACAATTCCGTACATAAATATCATAGTCGAATCCAACCAAGTTTTCTGGATTTCAATCACAAGTAAATTGGAATCCAAACAATTCAAGTGTGTTCTGTACCTGCATATCCAAACAATTAGTAATATTCCTAAACAGTCGACAAGTAGCAATTCATGAGTTGGGTTCAACCCTACTCCATCCAACCAAAAAAATATTTTATATTGATAAAATAAAAATAAAATCACCAAAATTAGACATATTGTTCAACTAAAAATAATAAAAAAAAAAAACTTTGACAATCACTGATTATTAAAAAAATAATTGATTCTTGTTTTTTTGAGATAATCATGGAGGAGAGGCATCAAGCTGTCTGGGCACATGAACTGGAATAATGTTGAAGAAACTACGGACTTGAGCTTGAAAGGTGGAAACTTCACCATGTATCACATTCAACTGGTTCTCCACAATTGAACGGAATATATCGAGCTCTCGTGTGACTTTGATAATAAGCGGATCCAATGAATTGAAGTCGGCAGATTTGGACCCCCCCTGCTCATACGGTAAAGCAAATATTAGAATAATAAAGGATAACACCACAGGAACACGCTTAGCCTCATCCAATATGCGGCGAAAAATAAATTCGCCCATATCAAAGTCCAAACCCCGTCTAACATTGTACAACAACATAACTTGGTCAAATGACACATCAACCGAATTATTGGTTGGGAACAAATTGGAACACCCAATCTCGTGAAGAACAGCGTACATCCTTGTCAGATGATAATGCCGAAGACCGATAATGGGCCACTCCAGCAGTTTAGCTCCCGTCAACTCCTTCACTAAACGCTCGTTGCCAAGCCTTGTTGGAAACCTTCCCAAGTTCCTTGTGCCTAGGATTTCGTTCAGCTTTGTAGGGCTGAAATCGAACATAGCCCCGTGGATATACACTTTGCAATAACCAGCAGAATCATCATCTCCGGCCCTCGTCTCCAGATTCGTGTAGAAGTCGCGCATAACAGTGTTCTCAAACAACAGGCGGTGAGGTTTATTGGCAAGCTTGACTGTACCCAACACCTTCTATCGCTTAGGAGTTTCTTCACACCCCAGTTTATGAAACTTGCTTCATCAATAGGCCTTTCAAGCAAGAATTTTACACCAACCATTTCTTCGCCCAAAGCCTTCGCTGTTATTTGTAGTATCTGAACTCACTAGTCAAAGTACTCATGTCTGGCACATCGAACATTGGGTCTAAGTCCGAGTCCCGCCGTCTCTTTGCCCTTTACGTTGTCACGTCTCTTGTACCTTCCGGAACATTCGGTGATTGTGTCACATTTTCCGAGCTCGTCATATTTTCTAGGGGTTTTGGGAAGATTTTGGAGAGGAGAAATTTTTTTTTAGTGAGAGAAAGGATTGTGGAAAAAGGATGATAGATCCAGACTGTGAGAGAGATTTAATTTGTTGAAGACAATAGGGATAAGGATAGGGTTAGGGGTTAGGGTTTTGTTTAGGATGAAGGCAGATGAAGCGCCTCCCAGTGAAAAGGCACATTAGCACGAATACCGAAGCAGTTCAATCAAATTGTATACCCACGTTCAGACGTTAACTGTGGAGATGACAAATATGGCAGATTCCTTCGTAGATACCCGAGATTACTCATTACATATCACGTTTTTCCGAACTGAATTATTTAAATGAGTATTAATTATACATAAACGATTAACTAATTATAGAATTAATACTAACTACCATTTATCCCCATGGACTAATCATATATAAATGCGATTTAATATAATTGTGATTTTAATTATCATTTTGGGTTAATTCACACATATTAAGAAAACTAATAAATGTGCATGGATTTAAAAAAAATCATAATAAAATGACTAAAACCCACATTTATTAATTGATTCACCATTCTTATGTTAAGAGTAGTAAAGGCGTAATTGAGAAAAAAAACACAATAAATGTTATAAATTTAATTAATTGTCATAATCTCATAATGTAAGAAATTGATCATTAAATAAATGAAGTAACGAAAAATTAGAAAAAAACAGGCTGTTTAATAATGGGGAATTGTTAACAAAATACACCATATACCTCAAATAAAGTCACCCAAAGTGATTATTAATTAGATATAGTTAAATTATAAAACAACAAAAATACTACAAATCAAACTACAAAGTTTTTAAATGATGACATAGAGTAGGGATCATCATAATAAACCCTAATCATTATCGGATCATTCCAAACAAGACAGATTTTTTTTATACGCAGAATCAAACAAGATGAAATGTCCTACCAACAAACTGAATATTTACCTGCAAAGCATTTCAGTTATCACAAAACAAGTTCTAGATAATATGTACCTGCAAAACAAAGTTGAACTACTGCACAACCAAACTATACAATATATGCACACAATATCATCAAAACACACAATATATTGATACTGGGGTCAACCCAGTATCCACAATCCAAAAAAAATTAAATATTCAAACACAACAAAAAAAAATTAAATTAAAATTGTATCAAATACAAACCAAAATAAAAATAAAAAAATTGTTTTTTTAATTGGTGTGGGAAGATGGAAGTCCGGGCATCGTACTGGGACCGGCATCGGGTTGAGCATCCAACAATGCCTGCAAATAGGCGATCTCCTGGCGCCTTAAATTGAGCTGTCTCATGATACGTGTTCGGAATATACCAAGCAGCAAAAAATAGGCATCCTTGGACGCCGTTGTCGGATTAGGCTGGAGGGTTGGGAGTATCGGAAGATCAACCCTATTGCTTTCCAGGAGATCGTGGCTGATTGTCAGAGGCTCCATTTGAAAGTTCCAAACGGACCCAACCAAAGAGGGTTTGTACCCTTGCGCACATAGCAATGCAAATATTAGAATGGGAAATATAATTGTGAGTGGGTTTACCTCAGCCTTTCACATGAGATCTCGGGACAGGTCTATCCACCGTCTGAAGGGAGTTCAGCATTGGAGGGAATTCAAGAGTGCGGATGGAAGAACTGATGTGAAGATCAACATGTTCGAGTCGTGTGCAAGAACAACATATAACATAAAAGAGGGAGTTTTAGTGTTTTTATTAAGTCCAACATTGTACACTTAAATTTGAGCTAGTGAAATCTTGTTTCCAGGTCCTTGTGGATGTATGGTACATTTGTATCCGAACCACTTTAATATTGTGTCTTTTATTTTGCTTTTATAAGTTAGATTTCACAACAACACACGAAAGACTGTTTTAACACCGTAAATGTCTTAACAGTAATCTCTCTCAACAATAATATGTCTAAACAATAATCTATTTCAACAAAATGAGTAAATTTTCATAGGTATATAAATCAACAATTGTCATCAAGAGTTGGTCACCAGATATACTTAGTGTCTGATTTTGGGAAATTTGGTTTATTTGCTTTACTTGTTGTAGGATGAGTATTCACAAGGAAGGCGGTTCAACTACACGTCCCCCATTGCTGGATGGAACGAACTATACGTACTGGAAAACCAAGATGAAAATGTTTATCAAATCAATGGATGAAGATTCATGGCGTACAGTTCTAATAGGGTGAAGGAGACAAATGCCAAAAAACAGAGAATGTGTTGAGTATGAAAAAACACGAAGAGAACTGGAGCAAGAAAGAATAAATTGTGGCCAATATCAATTCAAAGGCTTTAAATTCTATATTTAATGTGGTTGACACCAACCAATTTAAATTGATATATGGTTGTGAATGTGGAAAAAAGGTATGTGACATACTTCAGGCTGCATATGAAGGAACAACCTCAGTAAGACTGTCCAAATTTCAAATGCTTGCCACACGCTTTGAAGATCTTCGAATGAGAGAAGATGAGACCATAGTTGACTTCAATTCCAAGTTGTGCGACATTGCTAATGTAGCTCGTGGCCTTGGAGAAACATACCCTGAAGTGAAACTTGTGCGTAAAGTCTTAAGATCTTTTCCAGATCGATTTGCATGCAAAACAACTGCAATTGAAAAGGCTAATGATATTGATGAACTCCACCTTGACGAGCTGATAGGAAACTCAAACAATTGAAAAAAAGTTGAGTATGAGTAGAATGGATAAAGAAAGGAATATAGCTCTGCAGTTAACCAATATTCCAACTCATGTTGTCCCAACAGTGTCTGCAGTTGCAGCAGAACTTATCAAATTTATGGCTATATTGCTTAAAATTTTGATAGGATGGTGAAAGTGAATGAAAATCCCTCAAAGACTGGCACACAATTCAAGAAAAGAAGAATTCAGTGTAGACAATATCAAGGATTTGGTCATACTCATTCCGAGTGTGCCAATACACTAAAGAAACGGGAAAAATCGTTTACAAGTGCAAGGAGTGATGACAGTCAAGACTCCAATGAGGAGAAAGACAAAAATAATAGAAACCTCTTATGTGGAACTAGCATGATAGTTTAACCAATAGCCGATGATACATTGTCTGTTCCAACAGAAGTCGGGTATGAACATTCCTTGTCTGATCACCTTGTTAGTCTAAACTCTTCTTTTAACACAGGCGAGACCAGCTCAGATGATGAAGAGGAGATTACTGCTGAAATGATTCAACAACAACAAGCCGAATTTTTCAAAACATGTCTTGCTTTAGATGAAATGGATAAGGCCTTGAAAACGCAAGTTTCTGAACTCGAGAAAGAAAAAGGGGTACTTGTGTTTAAATTTGATATTTCTACAAAGGATGTTGAGAAACTAAAAGAACAGTTAAACTTCCAAAAATCTCAACCTTCTACTAGTAAGAACAATCATGTGTATGCATGTCAGATTAACATAAATGTTGATCTTAATCGTAAAAGCAATTTTGTGAAGAAAAGTGACTGATAAACATCTCGCATGTCTTAATAAATTAAACTTTTTCTCGTAAATATAATGGAAAAAAAGGTTTGTTCCAACTTGTCACGTCTGCCATAAACGAGGTCACATCAGACCAAAATGTTTATTAAGATGGAAGTTGATAAATAACAGTTTGTCACAACATTCACATAATTCCACTGTGTTGCAACATGTTGCTAAGATGGGACACTCTGATATAAAATAAAAATGAGTGAAAAAAGGTGACGTTAACTGCCTTTCTGTCATAACTCTTCTTAGTGTTTGTGCTAGTAACTCGTTGTACTGTGATAGTTATTGCTTTGAGTGTATGACAAGTAATCCGAAGCACTTGAAGGACTATCAGAATTGTGCTAGGACATGCAACTCTTGATGATGGAACTAAGACACAAGTAAGAGGTAAAAG